CCAAAAACTAAAAAATAAATATAAAAAATTCTCTGTCTGTCTCTCTCTCTCACCTCTCTCTTTAAAAAAAAAAAAATTTAAAATGTAAAAAGACTGGGGGGATGTGGCTCAGTGGTAAAGTGCTCTGGGTTTAATCTTCAGTAAACACACACACACACACACACACACACGTAAAGTAGTGACAGGACTGGCTTTGAGGCTTGAGGGCCTAAACTAAGTGGAAATGCATGGGAAAAATTATTTTCATATAAATGCTTCATGTTGAGAGTTAGGCATCAAAGAGCTTCACAGGCACCCTCTGGAAATGCTCACAACCTGTGTATTCTAGCCATCTCATGAGCACCACAGATGGCTTAGCAGTGTCCATGACATGAAAACATTCCACAAATGTTATCTGTCAGTGTTCTCCTCACTTTAAAGATTATTCCTGGGCCACAGAGGTTGCTGAACTCTGCCATCTGAGCGCAGACATTCTGGACCCAGCCCCCACATTCCCCAGATGGTCTCCAACCGCACTGTGCTCCTGGTGTTGTGAGAAGAATTTCAAAGTGAGAACTGGTAAGACTTGGAGACAGATATGGGCCGATGCCTGCAAGCCAGGAACAAACAGGGACAGACGCCAGTGACAGGGAGAGGCAGAATTTGGAGAGGGAGCAGATAAATGTGGAAACAATTTGCTGAGGGAGGCAGGGACAAGTCAGTAAGGGGACAGCTGGCTGGGACAGACTTAAAGGGGAGAAAAGATCCCGAGGGAAAGATGACACCCATAGCGGGTGGAAAGGGGCCTCAGGAATTAGAGACAAGATCTGCAAGTGACAAAGGGGCCAGGCCAGAGATCAGAGGCCTCATGGTCCCTTCTCAGTTCTCTGTAAACCTGTCAGGAAGTTAACTAGGGGACTTATCCCAGGGGAACTCAGAGCAGGCCTTCAGTTCTGTTGAATGAAAGAAATGGTCGGAGTTTTCTGTGCACTCGTTTCTCCCCATGTGCGGACTCCTGTTTATGCTACAAAGGCTCCATAGGTAGGTTCAGCATCACATCTACTTCATGTCTCTAGAAGCTCTGCTGATGTGATGCAGAATCATCAGTGCCTCCTGAATAAACCTGAATTCAGCTAACATAAGGCCACATCAGCACATCATTAGACTTTGGTGGGGTTCTTTTTTTTTTCCTTTGGTCTTTTTTGGAACTGGGGGTTGAACCCAGGGCTTTGTGAATGCAAGGAAGATGCTTTGCCACTGAGCTACATCCCAGCCTAGACTTTGAATTATCTAATTTCTTTGTGAGGTCTGCACTGCTTGTGGATTTGCTCATCTCTGCCTTTCTGCAGTGCTGGCATTGGATCCCAGGCCCTCACACATGCTGGGCAAGTGCTCTACCACTGAGCTACACCCTACCCTTTTTAGAGACATGGTATCTCTTGCTAAATTGCCCAGGTTGGCCCTGACCTTGTGATCCTGCCTCAGCCTCCAGAGTAGCTGGGATTACAGGCTTGTGCCACTTTGCCTGGCCTTACCCCATTCTTCAGTCTTTCACAATTGCCCTAATCCACATTTTTGCCTAAGTCCTCATTTCTGACCATCCTTGGAGCCAGACTGGTTTGTGCATCATTTTCCACATAAGCTTTTCACACTTCAACTTTGGGTCCTAAGAGGAAGGCCTGTTTTTTTTTTTTTTGTTGTTGTTGCTAAGTTTTCCATTCTTAGGCAAATTCTTTCTAAAAACTTTCTAAACCTCAATTTCTTCATCCTTAAAATGAGAAGAACCAGAACTAAGAGTTGTTTGTGATACATTACCTCATGTGCGTACTTATCACATGGATTTTCAAATTCCAGCTCTCCCAGGTACTGGCTGTGCAACCTTGTGTCAATCTCTTACTTTCCAGGTCTGGTTTCCCTCCTTTGTGAAACAGCAAGGGGAGAAAGACTTTTGTAGTGCTTGTGTTCTAAGGCAGGGCTGTCATACCCAGACTTCAGCTGGGGGCTGTTTACTAGCTATGTGCCCTCAGGCCTTTCTCAGTCTCACTGGGCTTCTACTGAAGTGAGCACTGTAGATAACCAAGAGCTACTTTCAGGACAAATAAATTTATTTAGGAGAGGAATTGCTGGCCAAAAGCTTAATCACAGTGTTTTTTCCTTTAAGATGTAACCCTATAGTGGAGAGGGATGACCATATTATAGCTTAACATCACCAGTTAAGATTTTCTGACCCTTGTTTACTAACCGGTTTTCTTCTTTTTTTGAGGTGCTGGGGATTGAACCCACAGCCTTGTGCATGCGAGGCAAGTACTCTACCAACTGAACTATACCCCCAGTCCCTACCAACCAAATTTCTGATAATTTAGTTCTCTATGTAATTTCAAGTTATTTCCACTTACTCAAAAACAAACTTTAGCATGCACATTTAGGACAGCTGTTACTCAAATGTATGCGAGTTACATACCTGAGTCCAGCCTTATTTGGAGGGCACTTCCGGCAGGCACCCATTACCTAGTTGCTGGTGGACAGTGTGTTCCCCTTTCTTCTTCTTGGTAGGCCTATATGAGTCCTATCTGAGTCTCTGACACTTGGGAGTTGAATGGGGAGGTTATGCCTCTTTGAGTGTAATCCTGGATGAGCATTTGTGACAGGTGTCAGACTAAGCTGTAAAAGGACTACCAGGGCTCTTGCAAAGATTCATGCCATCATTTCTGATCTCACATTAACACAATGCTGCCCACTCCAGACAATGACAGGCATTTGGGATATAAACTCCTGTAACATTTTTTTTGGGAGGTTGCATTAGACCACACTGTCCCACAGGGACAGTTGTAATTTCAAGTTCTTCCAAGAAGTTATACTTCTTAACAATTTAGCTACAGCTTGAATGCCCCATTGCAGTTGGTGGCACAACTTTAACCCACCAAACCCTAAACTCTAGATTTTTGCGATTATGCCCCCACTACAGGGGACTGAACCCAGGGCCTCTTGCATGCTAAGCAAGTGTGCTAACACTGAGCTGCACTCCTAAGCCCAGGACTCTTTTCTTTTCATTCCACCTCAATACTGCCATCTTTTCCTATCCTTATAACCACTATTAAGATGCTTGTGGCCACATCCCACCTTTTTTTTTTTTTTTTTAAATTTTAGAGACAGGGTCTCACTAAATTGCTGAGGCTGACTTTGAATTTACAATCCCCCTGCTTTAGCCTATGGGATTACAGGCGTGGGCCATTGGGACGACTAAAATGCTATTTGTCTTGTCCTGTTGTTGTTCATATGCCTATAATCCTTTCCCACAAATTGTAGTTTGGATGACCCAAACTTTCCCATTTCCTCTAGCTCAGGCAAGAACAGGTCTCTTCTACCTTTGCCCCAAACCTTGTCGTTATTTGCTCACATTTTCCCTAATATGCTAAAAAATATTTGTAATAGCAAAATGTGGTTTTTCTTCTTTTTTAACCCATGATTTGATTGTGTTTGCTGCATTAATTGAGCACCACCCTGAACATGTTTGGATTGTTAGAAAAGAACTCCAGCTACTTAATGTTAATAACACAAGTCAGCTGGGCATGGTTGCACTGGCCTGGAATCCCAGTTACTCAGTAGGCTGAGGCAGGAGGATCAAAGTTCCAGGTTTGTCTGGGCAATTTAGTGAGAACCAGTCTCAAAATAAAAAAGGGATGGGGAAATAACGCAATGGTAGCTTATGCCTGAGTTCAATCCCCAGCATGGGGTTGTTAGCTCCAATATGGTGCCTACTATGTGCTAGAAACTCTATCAACTCACAGGCCTATGCTCATAGGCCTATGATGTAAACAAAAATACTAGCTACTGTTTACAGGTGAGGAAAATTGAGACCCAAAGATTCAGCGTCTTGCTCAAGGGACACAACTAAAAGCTGGTGGAACCAGGGAGCGGTCCAGGTGAGTCCAGGTCTGATCCTATACTGTGCAGGTTCTCTCCCTGAGCAGGAAAGAGAATGGTAACTCACACTCACTGCTGTACTAATGACTAAAAGGGCACACTGAACGTGCTAAAGGCACGAATCCATGTAGGTCAGAAGCCCAGCACAATTAAGGGCTTTCCTGGCCCTTGTCCACCTCTCTGACCTCAAATCCTATCAGTGTTTTCCCAGAGGATACAAATGATCCTCTATCCCGTTTCCTGATCCTCCTCCTCGGAACGGGCTGCTACTTGCACGGCCCTTCCCCCGTCCAGCCGTCCTTTGAGAATCCGGCTAAGTCATCGCCACCCGGCCGCCTCCCCACGCGGACACCCTCCGCGGCGCGCTGCATCTTATTAACCTCCCCGCGGGACAGCAGGCGGGGGACTGCGGCTGGGTCTTATTGATTCTTCCTTCTGCAGCGCCGCTCGTGGTGACGCAGACTGGGAGCTGTTTGCCACGCGCTGCGGCCAAGAGGGACAGCGTTCGGGGACCCCGGTCGGGCAAAGCTTCGCGTCCTTCGAGCGATGGCTCTCTGGCGGGGGGCAGACACGCTGGCCTCGGGTGACCGCCCGTGACTCGTCCCTTCCGAGCGGCGACCAGCAGAGTGGGCGGCAGCGTCTGCCGCGCAGCCCCGCCCCTCCCGCGCCCCGCCCACGCCCGTCCGCCCGCAGCCCGACCTCCGCCCCCGGCTCCCGCCCTCCAGCAGCCGGGCCGCCGCCGCAGCCGCCGCACAAAGGCCGGCGCCGCCTCACCGCGCAGGGATCCGGGGCCACGCGCGCGCCCCGCCCGGCCCGGTCCAGGCCCCTGCCTGCCGCCCCCGTCCGCGCCCCCCAGCCGCAGGAAGCCATAAGAGGCAGGCGCGCTCCCTCGGCGCGGCCCCGAGGCTCGCGTCGCTTAGCCTCCGGAGGGACTACTTTGCGTCCCCGCGGCGGGGCTACTTCCTCCCCCGCGGAGGCGTCGGGCGCTGGCGGCGCGCACGGCATGGCGGCGGCGGCGCGCGCCTGAGGAGAGGGGACGCCGGCGCGGTGAGGCCTCGGCGCGGCCTACACGCTTCGCAAGCCCGCTTGCTCCCCGCCCCGCGCCCGGCCATGGCGGAGCCCGCGCCCGCCCGACGTCCGGTGCCGCTCATCGAGTCGGGTAAGACGCGGCGCCGCGCCCCCCGGGCCCCGCGCCCCGCGCCGCCCTGACCGACTCCCGTCTTCCCTCCGCAGAACTGTACTTCCTCATCGCTCGGTACCTATCGGCCGGCCCGTGCCGCAGAGCCGCCCAGGTGAGCGCGGGCGGCCGCGGGGGGCGGGGGGTGGCGGAGCGCCGGGCCCGCCACTGACGGTGCGTCTCTGCCGCAGGTGCTGGTGCAGGAGCTGGAGCAGTACCAGGTCGGTGCCGCCGTCCCCGCGCGTCCCGCCCCCGGCCCCGGGAGGGCCCCGCCCGCGCCCCCGCGGCCCCGCGCCGGAGCGGTGGTCACGCGGGCGCGTTTCGTGTCTTTCCAGCTGTTGCCGAAGAGGTTGGACTGGGAGGGCAACGAGCACAACAGGAGCTACGAGGAATTGGTGAGCACCGGACGTTTCCGCCCGCGACCTCTGCGCCGCCCCTGCCCTCGCCCCGGCTCTCCGCGACCGGAGCGCTGGGCGTGCGGCCGGGACGGAGGGCCTGTCCCCGGCCAGGGTTTGTTTTGCTTTGGAGGCGGCGGGGTTTGTTTTGGCAGGAAGCGGCCTCCGGGGGCGGTGGAGGGGGTGCCGCGAGCTCGGGGCTGGGCCGAGCCTCCAGGTGCGGCTGCCTTCGGGGGCGGCGTGCGCCCGCCAGCCACTCAGTGGGGCGCTCTCATCGCCTGCTACCTTGGCCGGGCGCGTAAGGCGAGCTCTGATTGGTCGCTGCTCCTCTGCCCCGCCCAGGTCTTCCGACCACTTGTTCCCTAGGAATAGAGTCTTGGTCTCCGAAGGTGGCGAAAGGTTTCCTTGGAAGTTTTTTTTTTTCCTCTTTGCAACGTGAGAAAAGTATTGCTGATGCGTGAATATTTCACTCCAATGCTTTTGCTGTTCTGAACAGTAAAATTTTTGAATGCCTTAGGAAGTTGATCTACTTAATTTTATAGTTGATCTCGCTGTGTATTAAAAACAGGCTTAGAATTAGTAAATTTTTTATTTTTCAAGCATTGTTAACGTGAATACATTTATACTTTATAAATTTTTTTTTCTATTCTTAAGTTATAATTAGGTTTTCTCCAGTTACAGTAATGCAAGGATTCATTTGTCCTTGGTGGAATAAACATTTTCCTGGGAAATATTTTTGGAAATTTGTATATTGGGGTAAAACATGTTTTTGGTTACCAGGCCATGTTCAGTATCATGAGTAAGGAAAATAATGGGGGAAAAAGAAACGTCTTAATTTCTATCACGGTTCTAAGCAGAAGGTGGTGAAATCTTAACATTCTTGTATTAAAAGTAAAAGGGGGGACTGGGGTTGTGGCTCAGCGGTAGAGCCCTCCTCTAGCACGCGCAGGGCACTGAGTTCCATCCTCAGCAACACATAAAAAATAAAAGTATTGTCCCATTACAACTAAAAATAAATGATAAAAAATAAAAAATGTAAAAGAATTAGCCAGGGGATTTGTTATATGCATGTATGAACAGTAAGTATTAAATGTATGTTTTATACATATATGTTTTGGGGGGTTGGAATTTGTAAAATGGCTTTATCCGTGAAGCAGAAAAGCATTGTTGATATGACACTAGGGTCATGCTTTTGGAAAGAAAATTACTTGTGAAATAATTATAGTGCTGTAACTATTGGGAAAATTACTTTTAAAAAACAGGTTTAAGTTTAAACAGAAACAAGTTTTCTTTTTTTTTTTTTCCAAAAAAAAACCCAAAAAAACCTTAAAACCCTCCTTGATATAATTCTGTTTAAAATTATTTAAAATATCTATCTGGTTTTGGAAGATTTCATCTCATCTGGGTGGTTTACTGATTAGAGGGTATCCTCTTCTTTTATCTCTGTCCCCCACCCACCAAGTGGTGGACAGCATACCACCTATGTACTTTTTTTTTTTAATCAAATATATTAAATTTAATATAATTTAAATTAAAATTATAAAAAATGTGTAGGTTGTAGATCTCTGAAGTCTTCATTTTTTTTTTTTAAATAAATAATGCATGTTTATTTGGCTCACAGCCCTGGAGGCTGTGAAGTCCAAAACACAGGGGCTATAAGAAGTCTTCATTCTTTAATATTTTTATTTTTATTTTTTTTGGTACTGGGGATTAAACCCAGGAGTACTTAACCACAGAGCCATATCCCCAGCTCTTTTTTGTGTTTAGACAGGGTCTTGATGGGTTGCTTAGAGCCTGGCTGAGTTGCTGAGGCTGTCTTGGAACTCTCATCTTCCTGCCTCAAGCCTCCCAAGCTGCTGGGATTATAGGCATGACTGCACCTGGCTCTTTAATATTTTTTTTTTTTAAAATTAAGTAATTCAAATGTACCTAAATGAGAATGTAATGATCCCCTATATACCATTAACAGATTTGAATTTGTTGCCAATTTGCTGTTTACTTTGGTTTCTACTTGAGGTAGTCATTTTTAATATAAAGTATTAATTAAATAAAAAAAAAAAATAGAATAGTGGGCTATGGTGGCACATTCCTGTAGTTTCAGTAACTTAGGAGACCGAGGCTGGAGGATTGAAAGTTTGAGGTCAGCCTGGGCAAACTTCTTAAAAGAGGTAGGGATGTTACTAGGTGGTAAGACGCACCTGAGGTTCAGTCGCTAGTAACAAAATAAATAAGCAAATAAATAAGAAACCCACCACCAGGTACCCTTTATCCAGCCTTAGTGATTAATCAAAAAATGTTGCATCTGCTAATCTCTGCCTCACCGTGTTGTTTTTAAACAGATTCCAGATAGCCATTCATTTTTTTTTCTTGTTTATTTTTTTGCAGTACTGGGGACTGAACCCAGGTCCTTAGCATGATAGGCAAGCATTCTGTTACTGAGTTACATCCCCAGCCCCTTAAACATTTTAATTTTGACCCAGGGTCTTGCTAGCTCAGGCTAGCTTCAAGCTTTCAATCCTTCTGCCTAAGCTTTCTGGGTAGGTGGGATTAACAGGCATGTGCCACTGTGCCTGGCTTCAGATAGCCATTTATTTCAATGGTTAATATGCTGGAGTATTTTAAAGCAAATTGTTTGGACTGCATCTCTATAAAGGCCTATTCAGTGGTAGAGCATGTACTTAGCATGCACAGTACAAGACACTGGATTGGATCTCTAGGACCACAATGAAAAAAGGATCCTTTCTTTTTTGAACTGTGGATGGAACCCAGGGGCACTTAACTATTGAGCCACATCCCCAGCCCTTTTTATTTCAGACAGGGTATCCCTAAGTTTCTTAGGGCCTCCTCAGCCTCCTGAATTGCTGGGATTATAGATGTGCTCCATCACATCTGGCTTCACTGAGTGTCTTTATGTTTAGTTCAAATTCAGGTCCATGCCAGGTGTGAGGCACTCCTGAAATCTCAGTGTCTCTGGAGCCTGAAACAGAAGGATCACAAGTTCAAGGCAAACTTTAGAAGTTCAGCAAGGCCCTAAACAACTTAGGAAGACCTTGTCTCAAAAAAATACAAAGGGATGTGGCTCAATGATTAAGTGCCCTTGGGTTCAGTCCCCAGTACAGGGGGAAAAAATGGCATTGATTATATAAAATTGTGAATCATCATTTTCCTACGCTATTACTGAAGAGACAGATATTTGTCTTATTCTGGATATGTCATTGTTTCTTCTTGAAGTTATTCCATTTTCTCAATGGTTCTGAAATTTTGGTTAGAGTTATCTAGGAGCTTTGTATGTTCCAGATGTCCAAAGTGGGCTGCAAACCAGTTAAATCAGTCTTTATGGTGGGACTGGGCATCAATTTTTTCCCCATGGTGAAATGCAAGAAAAAAACCCAAAACTTTTAATGGAGGATATAGCTGTATTGGAAAGGCACAGTGAAATCTAGTGTTTTAATCTTGTCTTCCTGAGTGTTAGTGGCACTTTTGATTTAAAGAGAGGAAGATCATGCACCAGTTGCTCTTTAAATTCTTTTTTTTTTTGGTTCTGGGGTTTGAATCCAGAGGCATGCAACCACTGAGCCGCATCCCCAGCTCTTTTTATTTTATTTCTTAATTTTGAGAGCAGATCTCACCAAGCTGCTCAGGGCCTTGCTAAGTTGCTGAGGCTGGCTTTGATCTTGGGATCTTCCTAAGTGTCCCAACTTGTTGAGATTATAGGTGTGTACCGCCACTATGCCTGACTTTGATTGACAGATTCTTAAGCCTGTGATTTTTCTTGATTCTGTTGGAATTACTTTTCTAGCTCCACTCCTGTTCCTGTGTGCTGTGCTGATTACTTGCAGCAGTGTTTGGGAGGTTAGGTACTGACATTTGAAGCATAAAGTGCTAATTACTATTACGAAGCTTCTGAGGTCTACCTGGTTTTGATACTTTTCAGTTTTGTGTTGGTATATCTGCCAGGAGGTGGGGAACATGAGTCCAATTGGGAAATCAAAGGTATTTTATCAAGCTCTTGTTGTCACCAGGGCTGATGAATAAAAACTTTTATATTGAGCCCAGGATTATTTTATATTTGGATTAATGATGAAGAACAAATAGTGACAAAAGTGATCTCAAAAGTGCTTTTTTTTTTTTAGTGGTGCTGGGGATTGAACCCAGACCCTTGTGCATGTAAGGCAAGCACTCTACCAACTGAGCTAAATCCTCAGCCCTAAAAAGTGATCTTTACCAATAGTTCGATACAAGGTTATAACTATGGTATAGATCTATAATTATGTGTTTGAGATTTTCTTTAGAGCAGTGTTTCTCAGTTTGAAACATGGAGCATGTTGATGTTGCAGTGCCTTGGAAGTGCTGCTGACATTAGTGGATGGGGGCTGAGGACACTGTAGGTCTGCATGTGTGGGTTAGTCCTGCACAGTGATGTTTTCTCAATTTTCAATTTTTGAAAAGTTGGACCAGTTGTGATTAATGGCTTTAATATTGTATAATTCTACATTGAAAAATTAACACTTATTTGGCATTAAATAGTACTTGAAAAAAGATCTGGTTTTATGGCCCATTGTTACTAATCATTTGTGGTAGATCTCTTTAAAGGTCCAGCCCTTAGTCATCCCTTGAATGCTGGTGATGTTATGATTGAGATCCCTTAGGGATGCACCATTAAATTTTATGCCAGTTACATTCATATCAGGTAACACTGTACATACATGAGTTAAAATTACATACTTTACTGTTTTTGTGGTTTATTTTTCTTATGTATAATTAACATAAAATGCACATGAACTAAAATTTTAGAGTGTTCTGATAAATACTGGCATATGTTACAGCCATGAACCCATCACAGTAGTGAAGATGGTGAGCATGTCTCACTTCCAGAAATCTCCTTTCACTCCTTGGAAATTCCTCCCTGTACTCTGGCACTACCTTGTCATCCAGCCTTTTGATATGTCCTCTGTGACTATATGTAGTTTGTATTTTCTAGAGGTTAATGTAAGGGAAATTATGCAGTTATATATTTGTTTCCTGGCTTTCAAGATAGAACACAACAGATGAATTTTTGAACTATCAGTTCATTTCTTTTTATTGCCTAATTGTATTCTATTGTGCAGATACATCACAGTGTATTATTCATTTATTCATCAGTTAGTGGACATTTTTGTTGTATTCTTTTTTTCTATTGGAGAGAAAGCTGCTAACATTAATACGCAAACCTTTACGTGTCTGAGTTTTTTTTCCCCCATGCTTAAATACCTGGAACTTAGCTTGGTATCACATACCTGTAATCCTAGTGACCCTGGAGGCTGAAGCAGGAGGATCTCAAGTTCAAGGCCAGACTCAGAAATTTAGTGGGACTCTAAGCAGCTTAGCAAGACCCTGTTTCAAAATAAAAAAGGACAGGGGATGTATCTCAGTGATAAAGTGCCCTTGGACTCAATCCCGAGTATTAAAAAAAAAAAATCAAGTCTAGAAATGAAATAGCTGGATTATATGACAGGGATGTATGTGTACTTTTTTTGGTGGGGGGGATACTGAGGATTGAACACGAGGATTTTACCTCAGAGGTATATCCCCAGTCTTTATTTTTATTTAAATTTAAGTTACCTACATTGGCCTCACACTGGATGTGTTCTTGCCTCAATCTCCTGAGTGGCTGAGATTACAGGTGTATGTCCCTGTGCTCAGCTTATGTGTAATTTTTTTTTTAATCTTATTTTTTTTTTGGTGGGGTTCTTTTTTTTTTTTTTTTTTGTATTTTTTGGAACTGGGGGTTGAACCCAGGGCTTTGCAAATGCAAGGCAGACGCTTTGCCACTGAGCTGCATCCCAGCCCTTATGTGTAATTTTTAAAGAAACTGTTAAACTATTTTCAGAATTTGTGGTAGTGTTGTATATTTCCATCAGCAGTTTCTCCACATTCTTGCAACGTTTGGGCTGGTCAGTCCTTTTCATTTTAGCCATCCTCACAGGTGTGTGGTAGTATCTCCTTAAAATCTTTTTTTTTTTTTTTTTTTAGAGAGAGAGAGAGAGAGAGAGAGAGAGAGAGAGAGAATTTTTTAATATTTATTTTTTAGTTTTCGGCAGACACAGCATCTTTGTATGTGGTGCTGAGGATCGAACCCGGGCCGCACGCATGCCAGGCAAGCGCGCTACCGCTTGAGCCACACCCCCAGCCCCTCCTTAAAATCTTAATGTGTATTTTACTAAATAATGTCAGTCACCTTCACATGTTGACTTGCTATTTGTATTACCTTCTTTGGTGACAGGTCTGTTCAAACTTTTTACTCTATTTAAAATGGGTTGTTACTGTTGAATTTTGAATGTCGAGTATTGTTGAGTTGAATATTGTTGGGAACTCAAAAAGAGTTCTTTATTCTGGATATAGGTCCATCGTGAGATACATGCTTTGCAAATATTTTCCTTCAGTCTTTAGCAATCAACATTGCTTTTGAAGAAAGGAAGATGTTTTGATGAAATCTGATTTATCATTTTTGTTATTTATGGTTTGTGCTTTTTAGGTGTCACATTAGAAATCATTAGCTGGGCACAGTGGCAGCCTGTAAGCCCAGCAGCTTTGGAGGCTGAGGCAGGAGGATGGCAAGTTCAAAGTCAACCATTAGCAAATTAGCAAGGCACTCGGCAACTCAGTGAGACCCTCCTGTCTAAATAAAATACAGAATAGGTCTGGGGATGTGGCTCAGTGGCTGAGTGCCCCTGGGTTCAATCCCTAGTTTAAAAAAAAAAAAAATCAGTGGTCTAAGTATACATACGTCTTGTTTTGGACAATTTGTTCCATTGATCTCTTCCTTTTTTTTTTTTTAAATATTTTTTATTTTTAGTTATCGGCGGACACAACATCTTTGTTTGTATGTGGTGCTGAGGATCGAACCCGGGCCGCACGCATACCATGCGAGCGTGCTACCACTTGAGCCACATCCCCAGCCCCCCATTGATCTCTTTATATACCAAGAATACCAGACTGTTTTGATTTCTGTGGTTTTATAACAAGCCTTGGAAGCCAATGTTGTTAGCACTGCCACTTTGTTCTTTTTCAAAGCTGCTTTGGATTTTTTGTGTTATTTTCATACAGATTTAAGAACAATACTGTTGATTTCTATAAAAACAAATTCTTGCTTGAATTTTGGTTGGGATTGGTTTGAATAGGTAGTTTAGTTTATTGTTTTCAGCTGTCTTTTATTTCTTCCAGCATATTTTGTAGTTTTCATTGTGTTTCATATGTGTTGTCAAATTTATCCCTAAACATTTATTGTTTTTTTTGGTATTATTTAGTGTTATTAAAACTTAACTTTCCAACCAGGTCTTGTCCAATAAGCATGTGGCTCCTGATCATCTGTTGCAAATCTGCCAGCGCATCGGCCCTATGTTGGATAAAGAAATTCCACCCAGTATTTCAAGAGTCACTTCTTTACTTGGTGCAGGAAGGCAGTCTTTGCTACGTACAGCAAAAGGTACCTTAATTTGAAGAAGTGTTCTGCTTTGTATTAATAGCTTAATAATTACTATAATTGTGACGTAATGTAAGTATTGTGGAAGAAAGGTGATATGTAACTAAATCATGCTGTGGACTATAAAATTCTCTGCATTTAGCATAGAACATTGAATCCTATTACCTAAGTGTTTAATGGGTTTTTCTGCATTTAAAAAATTGCTCAAGATACAGATGTTAAGCTAAAAAGCTTGAATTTATTATGAGATGTGTTTGAGGTTTTATCAATGTGAGTTTTTTATTTTTTCATTTTGTAGCTCACTCGTAACTTATTGAATGTAATTGTATGTGTCTAATAAACTCTTAAAATGCTAGAAGTATTTCCTTTGCTATTTAGATTCCAAGAGCCCTTTGTTACCAGGGGAAGTGATTTTCTAAGGTTGGTAGCGGTTTGAAAACAAGCACCAAAAATGTAAAATTGCATGGTTCTTTTTTTTTACACTATTTTTTTGGCAAATTATGTGCTAGTAAAATGTTTGAAATTGCTATTTTTCTGTTAGCTTGGTACAAATGACTTAGACTTAAGTATATGTATGTGATACGATCTATGTATAATGTGGCTAAACTGCTAATGGGCAAGATGGTTGGTTCCTCCCATCCTGAGGCTCCTCCCTTGACTCTCTAAGAGCAGTCGCTGGGATGCTTCCTCTTTAGAGGCACCATGAGGATAAAGCTTGACTGAGGAAGAACAGCCTCCCTCTTGGTTCGCTGCCAGACTGGTTTGTCCAGGTAGCTGTTTCCTAGTGCTCTGTAGCCATGCCACATGTTGGCTCTAATCAGGAAACTGTTGGTATTCTTCCTTTTCTGTGTTCCTATTCACTTGTAATTACTCTGTTGTAGGCTGTTACTTAGTAGTTACTTGGGCAGCATGTTTTCCTCTGTTTTCTGTGTCAAGCTCAATGTTGTTCTGTGATGAGCACTGTTTTAGAATTGGCAGACCTTGGAAGAGACTTGGTCAAGTGCATAGGGTAGGGCCCTGTTTCTCTATTGTTTTGTACTGGTGCCATGAGAGGATGCCTGGTAACTGCTCTTTGGTCATGATAGTGGTAATGGATCCATTCATGTAAAACTCTATATGCCTGTTAGTTTGGGGCACCCGAGGCTCATGGAGGTTAAGTATGCTGCCATCCCTCCTTTGTCTTTGAGTTGTGAGGTAGCTAAACTTGAGCACAGCAGACTGCCCATGACTTGTGTTCTGCTGCTGTCTCCTAGGAGGAAAGACATTTTTTCTTCAGTTCTTTTCTTGTAGGTCAGGGAGGGATGGGGCTTTTTGAGTTCAGACTCACAGATCCTACTTATATGCCCTTCTGTAAAGGATTATCTGTGATCCTAAAATAAAGGGAAAGCTATTTAATGTGTCAGTACTTCCTAAAGAGACCAAAGTCATGGCAGTATTGGCCAAATTAATTTTAAGACTAAACATAGGACTTTTATATGTGAAAGAAATTAAAATTTTTCTCAATTTTCAATTTTTGAAAAGTTGGACCAGTTGTGATTAAGGTCTTTAATCTTTAATATTGTATAGTATAATTCTACATTGAAAAATTAACACTTATTTGGCATTAAATGGGACTTGAAAAAAGATCTGGTTTTATGGCCCGTTGTTACTAATCATTTGCGGTGGATCTCTTTAAAGGTCCTGAAATCTTTGAGCCTCAGTTACCTCACTTGTAAATTGGCGAAAATACCTACCTCACAGGGTTGTTGTGAGGGTTTAATGAGATCATGTATGTGGAAAGCACTTTGTGAACTGTAAAGTGCTACACAAATGTTAGTTGTTGTTGCTGCTGTATCTGAGATGTCCTAAGTTTTTTTTTTTTTTTTTTTCTCCCTTCAGAAATAGTCTAATAAACCTCCAGGGCTTTTCTGTTAAAGTATATTATAGTTGGTAAAACTTTGAATAAACAGTTTATTACAATATACGTAAGTATTCTATAAAATCTTTCTTGGGGTTAACTTTCAAGATTTTATGTGTATCTAAAATTCATTTTAAAGACTGCAGGCACACAGTGTGGAAGGGCTCTGCCTTTGCTGCTCTTCATAGAGGAAGACCTCCTGAAATGCCCGTGAACTACGGCTCTCCTCCAAATCTTGGTAAGTGAGGTGGGCCTTGGTGATGCCTAAAGTTCTTTTAATTTCTTGATAAAATTTGTAAATGTCAAATTTAAAAAGGAAATACCGGCAAGGTTGTTTTTTAAGTAGTAACACATAACAAATTTCAAACTACTGTTTTCTTAAAATAATTAATAAAATTAATGAAAACAATCATTATATTAAGAAGTCTGAGCTGGGCAAGGTGGTGCACATCTATAATCCCAGCAGCTTGGTAGGCTGAGGCAGGAGGATCCCAAGTACAAAGTCAGCCTCAGCAATTGCCTAAGCAACTCAGCGAGACCTTGTCTCTAAATAAAATATAAAAAAGGGCTGGGGATGTGGCTCAGTGGTTAAGTGCCCTTGGGTTCGACCCTTGGTACTGGGGGCGAAAAAAAAAACAAAAACGCCTGCATTAGTGATTATGGTAGAACAGAATTGGAAAGAAATTTGTGTCCTTAGGATTTCCCAAACAAATTTATTTAGTTTTTCACAAAAATATTTGCTTTCCTCTTAACCATTTTCATTGTTTTTATTTCCTAGTGGAGATACATCGAGGAAAACAGCTCACAGGGTGTTCCACTTTTAGCACAGCATTTCCAGGAGCTATGTATCAGCATATAAAAATGCACAGAAGGATTCTCGGACATCTATCTGCTGTTTACTGTGTAGCATTTGATAGGACAGGACATAGAATCTTTACAGTGAGTTAACATTTTCTACTAAATTGGGTACTGCCTGCAGCACTTCAGTGTGCTTCAGCATCATTTAGGAAATCTTATAAAATTTGTAGGTTCTTTATTTCCAATCTTCAGAGATTTCAACCAAGTAGGTCTGGTGTGGGGCCCATGAATTTGTATTTTAAATAAGTACCTCAAGTGATTTAGGGACAAATAGTCCTATGTGCTGTTTTGAGAGATAATGACTTAGAGCAGTGGTTCTTAAGCATGATCATTAAGGATGGTTGAAATTTATGCCTGTGTAGGCTGGTATAGTGGCCTGTAATGCCTGCTACTTGGGAGGCTGAGGCAGAAGGATTGCAAGTTCAAAGCCAGTTTCAGCATGGCTGTAAGTAACTTATTGAGATCCTGTTTCTGAATTAAAAAAAAAATGTGAACAAAAGAACAAAAACAGGCTGGGGATGTGGTTCAGTGCCCCTTAGTTCAATCTCTAGTACCAAAAAAAAAAAAAAAAAAAAAAAAAAAAACAAATACACATCTAATACTTCAGTTCATTTTGAACTTATTGAATTGTCACTCTGTACTTAATCTAAATGTAAGCACCAAATCCAGAAACAAATCTCCAAGCTGTTAGAAATATTCATACATTGATTAATCGTTAATTCTGGAAAATGGATTGATTATAGATAGCATTTCTGTGTTCAAGTAGTTATTGAAAAGCTGTACAGAAATATTTGGAATTTAACATTTTTAATGTTTTTAAGGGAAGATTAGAATGGGTGAGAAGCTTAACTTAATTGCAGGTGTGAGATTCAGAGTACATAATCATTGTGTGATGAATGATGGATGCTGGATGGTATTGTGTATTTGAGACTTTGTTGTTTGGTTATTTGAAATAAGGATGCTTTTCCCACTTTTTGGGGGGTGGTGGTGGCAGAATTGTCACTTAGTCTTGTTCAGGCTAAGAAGTCTAGATCTGTCTTAACATTTATTGTCTTATTTAAGTTGGTGAGCTGATCTAATACTTAGCCATTGTTAACTAATACAGTTGAGAAGGAACTTCTAGTTGGGTGTATTGGTAGAGAATTTTGGGGTAAGTAGTATTTATAATGTGATCTGACTCATAGAAATGGTAAGTTCACAGTATCTTTAGGCTTTTCCTTCGAAGAAAAATACATTTCCTTATGTGTTTTGACTGTAAGAACCATGACGGAGTATTCTACAATTGGAAGGAAGGGAGGAAGAGTCAGATATTTGATTTGTGCAGTATGTAAAAAGTACTCTAATAAATGATTCAGAAGATTTGCTGAACTGATATATGTGTTTGGTGTATTTTTTCTTAGGGTTCAGATGATTGTTTGGTAAAGATTTGGTCAACACATAATGGCCGCCTGTTATCCACATTAAGAGGTCATTCTGCAGAAATTTCAGATATGGCAGTGAACTATGAGAACACTATGATTGCTGCAGGGAGCTGTGATAAAATCATCAGAGTGTGGTGCTTGAGAACCTGTGCTCCTGTTGCAGTGCTCCAAGGACACACAGGATCAATTACATCTTTACAGGTAAACTAACTCCCTGAACATGTGGATGTTACCGCCTTTACCTTCAAAACTTTCTCTTTGGAATAGAAAAATATGAAGGTGCTTCGTGATTATATAGTGTGGGTTTTTTTTTTTTTTTTTTTTTTGTGGTGCTGCGTTTTAAACCCGGGGCCTTTTGCATTTGAGGCAAGCACTCTTCCAACTGAGCTATATCCCCAGCTCCATGATGTGTTTTAAAGTTAGGTAATCAAGAGAAAATTATCATTTTTATTTCAACTAATCATGGAAGGAGTAAGATAAAAAACAAATGTAGCAGAACTGTAGCAGAAAGCTTCATGGGTGACTTATTGCCTCTTTGAAGCTGATTATTGATCTGGATGAATGTCAATTAAAAACTGATGTACAATGAATCAAAATGCATTTTGCTGTCATATATACCTAATTAAAAAAAAAAAAAGGATGGATTCTCTGGTTTTGGTGGTACTGAGAATTGAACCCATGGCCTAAAAGGCATGTTGGGCAAGTGCTGTACCATTGAGCTGCATCCCCTGCCCTCTTTATTTTTTATTTTATTTTCAGTACTGGAGATGGAATCCAGGGGATTTTTACTACTGAGCTACATCCCAGCCCTTTTTATTTTTTTGAGACAGTCTTGCTAAGTTACCTAGGTTGAACTCGTAACAAGTACGTGGGATTAAAGGCATGTGCCACTGCATGCAATTTTTTTTTTTTTAAGCCTGGGTTTCTTTCTTTTTCTTTTTTAATAATATTTATTTTTTGGTGTAGATGGACACAACACAATGCATTTTATTTTTATGTGGTGCTGAGGATTGAACCCAGGTCCCGCCTGTGCTAGGTGAGTTAGTTTTTAAGGTAAAAAGGCATTTTTTGTCAAACTCAAGACTAACAGCTAAAAGAATAGTAAGAGAATGTGTAATCCAAGTGTGGTGGTACATGCTTGTAATCCCAATAGCTCAGGAGGCTGAGGCAGGAGGATCACAAGTTCAAGGCCAGCAACTTAGCTTTTTTGTGGCTCAGTGGTAAAGTGCCTATGGGTTCAATCCCCTGTACCCCCCAAAAAACGAAAGTGTAAACTACTAAGCTACCAGAGACTGGAAATAAGTCTTGTAAAAAAGAAAGCAAGAAAAAAGGAAAGAGCTGGGCATGATATAGTGCATGCCTGTAATCCCAGAGGCTTGGGAGGTTGAGACAGGAGGATTGTGAGTTCAAAGCAAAAGCAAGGTGCTTAGCAACTCAGTGAGACCTGTCTTTAAATAAAATACAATATAGAGCTGGGAATGTGGCTCAGTGGTTGAGTGCCCCTGAGTTCAATCCCCGGTACCACCCCACCCCCCGCAAAAAAAAAAAAAAAAAAGGCAGTGTATGGGAGAGAAAGTATACAAGGAGGTCATTAAATGTCAGTATGAGTATAATTCCATTAGTAGTAAATGAATTAAATGGTCCACATAAGAGGCAGAGACTTTAGACTTGGTTAAAAAATGAAATCCAACTATATGTCTTACCTTCAATATAAGAATATACAAGGTCAGAAGTAAAAGATGGGAGAAATTGTTTTTGCATACATAAAGAGCGATAATCAATTGTGATCAAACACTGGGGCTAGGAATATAGCTCAGTTGGTAGACTGCCTCACATGCAGAAGGCCCTGGGGTTCAATTCCCAGCACCACAAAAACAAAACAAAGTGATAGTGATTAAGCTTTTTATTAAATAAGAGTTCTTAATTTGTAGTATATCCTCAAAATACATAAAGCAAAAATAGATCCTCAGCGAGAAATTGACCTTCATAATTATAACAGGGAAATTTGAATACCTTTGTCTGTTAGTAAAAGAAAGAATCTTTCGTTAAGAATATAGATTTGAGGGCTGGGGATGTGGCTCAAGCGGTAGCACGCTCGCCTGGCATGCGTGCGGCCCGGGTTCGATCCTCAGCACCACATACAAACAAAGATGTTGTGTCTGCCGAAAACTAAAAAATAAATATTAAAAAAAAAAAATTCTCTCTCTCTCATAAAAAAAATATATATATATAGATTTGAGGGCTGAGGCTGTGGCTTAGTGGCAGAGCGCTTGCCTAGCATGTGTGAGGCACTGGGTTCAATCCTTTGCATTGCATACAAAAATAAATAAAGGCATGCTGTCTACAACTACAAAAAAATAAAATTAGATCTGACTATGCAAGTAAGAGGCTTGTACCATTACACATTTAGAACCTTTCATTTAATATTTATACCACAACTTTTTGGTCACAAATAGGGTGTTTATTATGTAAATATTGTCCCCATTTTTTGAGCAGCAAATGTCAGTCTCAACAGATTTAAAAATACTGTCATAATTATATTGTTGTCAGAAGATATCGATAATTAAGACAAATTACCAACAACCGGAATTGTTAATAGAGCAATCTTTAATTTTATAAATTAAGTAATAAAATGACTCAAACACCAATGAAGAAATCACAGTACACATTTAAGAATGTTTTGAACTGGCTAGTAATGAAAATATTACAAATTAAAACTAGCAAGAGGTACTGTTTGGGAACCAACCTGCAAATTGTGTTACTTTGTGATTGTTGCCTCTAGTTCTCAGCCCTCAATGTATTTCCCCTATTGAGTAGGATTGACCTATGTTACTTAAAGGGTATTGGCAAAATAATGTAGTATGACTTTTGTTTTTGGTATTGGGGATTGAACTAAGGGGAACTTGACCACTGAGCCACATCCCCAGCCCTATTTTGTATTTTATGTAGAGCCCGGGTCTCACTGAGTTGCTTATCGCCCTACTTTTGCTGAGCGTGACTTTGAACTCACGATCTTCTACCTCAGCCTCCCGAATATCTGGGATTACAGGTGTGCGCCACTATGCCTACTGTAGTGTGACTTTTAGTGCTGGGTAGTACAGACATGACAGTGTCTGTACTATGGAGACTCACTCATTTTTAGTAGCCTTATGTGAAGATTTTTGGGTAGAAGCTGAAGTCTCCCACTCAGTCATGTGAGCAAGCCATTTTGGAAGCAGATCCTCTGTCCCAGGTAAGTTTTATTGTCACTGTAGCCAGGTCAATGTATTGACTACAGCCTTCAAGCTGAGCCAGAGATAGCTGACTGAACTCCTAATAATAGATATTGTTGTTTTGGGCAGTTTAATTTTGGGTTGATTTGCTATATCTTGGTATATATTTAATACACAGCTGAAGTTGTGCTGAAAAAGATTTATAGCACTCGATGCATATATGTTGAAAAAGAAGGAGAAAAGCCAGGCCCACTGTTCCAGGCCTAGTCCCTGCTACTCCGAAGACTGAAGCAGGAGGATCACTTGAGACCAGGAGTTTGAGAGCAGCTTGGGCAGCAGAGACTTGTTTCTTTAAAGTTGAAATTTAGTGATCCAAGTGTATTTTTTTAAATATTTTTATTTTTTAGTTGTAGTTGGACACAATACTTTTGTTCCATTCACTTATTTTTATGTGGTGCTGAGGATTGAACCCAGGGTCCCGCATGTGCTAGGCGAGTGCTCTACCACTGAACCACAATCCCAGCCCCCAAGTGTATTTTTGAGAAATTAGAAGACAAGAAATAGAGAAATAAGGATTTATGAAGAGAAGTACAGGTACTAAGAATGGAAAGAAGGTATCAGTAGAAAGGATCAACAGAGTTGAATGGTTTTTGGAAAAACTATGCTGGTGAAATAATTAGATTAACCTGGGTGTGGGGATGGAAAATTCCAAGCCAGCCTTAGCAAAATCGAGGCACAAAGCTACTCATTGAGATTCTGTCTAATAAAATACACAATAGGGCTTGGGGGGTGGCCCAGTGGTCGAGTTCCCCTGAGTTCAATTCCTGGTACCCCCTACACTCCACCCCCCAATTAGATTAATTATGGGACCAAAAAGAATTGTTAAAAGTAATTAGATTTGAAAAACAGGTATTACTACATATCCTTCAAATAATAGAGGGTATTGTAAATAACTTGGTAAAAATGGAAGCTAAATACTCAGAAAAACAACTTATAAAGCTGTACACAGTGGTGCACACCTGTAATCCCAGTGCCTTGGGAGGCTGAGGCAGGAGAATCCCAAGTTCAAAGCCAGCCTCAGCAATTTAGTGAGACCTTAAGCAAATTAGTGAGACGATTTCTCAAAACAAAAAGGGCTGGGGATGTGGCTCAGTGGTTAAATGCTTCTGAATTCTGTCACTGGTACCAAGAAAAAGGAAAAGTAAACAAAATCTGAATAGATTTGTAACTATTAAAAAGCATTGACTATCTAGTTAAAATTCTTTTTATCTCCTTAATGTTTCTGTCAAAAATGTTTCACTGGGCTGGGGTTGTGGCTCAGTGGTAGTGCGCTTGCCTCTCATGAGTGAGGCACTGGGTTTGATTCTCAGCACTGCATATAAATAAATGATTAAAATAAAGGTCCATCAAAAACTAAAATAAAAATAAAAGTTTCACTGAATCTCATATGGGAGCCATAAAACAAATCAAAAACTGAGGAAAATTTGTGGCCAGTGTAACAAATTATTTATTTATTTATTTATTTTTTAGAGAGAGAGAATTTTAATATTTACTTTTTCGTTTTCGGCGGACACAATATCTTTGTGGTGCTGAGGATCGAACCTGGGCCCCACGCATGCCAGGCGAGCGTGTTACCGCTTGAGCCACATCCCCAGCCCCCAGTGTAACAAATTTATATCCTTCAAAGTTTAGTTTCAAGAAATACCAAAAAAACCCCCAAAACAAACAAAACCCAAAACAAAAAAACCTAAGAAGCCCCAGGAAAGTATAAAATGTAAATGCAGTGTGTGAGCCTAGATTTGGTTTTAGAGAAAATCCCCAAAGTACATTATGAGAAACTAGGAAATTTGAATGTGGATTTTGTGTGTGTGTATTTTTTTTTTTTTTTTTTTGTGGTGCTGTGGATTGAACCCAGGGCCTTGTGCGTGCGAGGCAAGCACTCTACCAACTAAGCTATGTCCCCAGCCCCCTGGAGTGTATATTAATAAATTAAATTTCTCATGTGTTTTATAACTGTATTATGTAGGAGAATGTCATTGTTCTTTGGAGATAAAATTAGGGTTTCAGTGAGGTGATAGGATGTCTGAGTTTAGATTCTGATGGTTCATCAAGAGGCAGGTATGGCCAAGTGTTAACCATTGGTGAAACTTGATGACTGATAACGAGTGCTCATTGTACTTTTCTCATGACTTTAATGCAGATTAAAAATATTACAGGGGCTGGGATTGTAGCTCAGGGGTAGAGTGCTTGCCTTGCAAGTGTGAGGCACTGGGTTGGATCCTCAACACCATGTAAATAAATAAAGGTATTGTGTCCATCTACAACTAAAACTGAAAAAAAAAAAAAACAAACAAAAAAACAACAACCCCAAAACCAAAAAAACAGAATTAAATGGAGAAAATTAACACTATACCATTGCTGCAGCCTCTTCAGCACTCTTAGCAGGGAAAAAAGAACAAAAACCTGTAATTATTGGAAAGGAAGAGATAAAAATTCTAATTTTTCAAGTTTGCTTACTTAGGAAATCCATTGAACTTGCCTCCTCGACAGGTTCCATTTATCTCAGGAAACAAAAGCCATGGTCCTAAGTAGTGGTGATGGCCCAACAGCTTTATGAATATAGGTTAATTCCTCTGAATTTTGCTGACTTTCAAGTGGTTAATGTGGTGAGAATTATATTAGGTGAATTTAACTTATCTTCACCTGGTTGGTGCACACTGGTAGTCCTAGCTGCAGGAGAGGCTGAGGCAGGAGGATCATGTGTTCAAAGCCAGCCCCAGCAAAAAGCAAGGTGCTAAGCAACTCAGTGAGACCCTGTCTCTAAATAAAATACAAAAGGGTTGGGCATGTGGCTCAGTGCCCCTGAGTTTAATCCCTGGTACCCCCAAAAAACCTAACAAACCCCAAAAAACTCCTTCCCCCAACACATAGTAGTAGCTCAGTCTGAAACTAAAACTAAAAAATATTTTAAAGAAAAAGAATTCAATTGAGGTTAACTTTGGAAAACTTAATTTTTTAAAAATATTTTTTATTTAAATACATGACAGTGGAATGCATTACAATTCTTATTACACATATAGAGCACAGTTTTTCATATCTTTGTATAAAAGTATGTTGACACCAATTCATGTCTTCATACATGTACTTTGGATAATGATGTCTATCACATTCCACCATCATTGCTAACCCCCTGCCCCCCTCGTTCCCCTCCCACCTCTATGCCCTATCTAGATTTTGTCTATTCCTCCCATGCTCCCACTCCTTATCCCATTATGAGTCAGTCACTTTATATCAGAGAAAACATTTGGCATTTGTTTTTTTGGGATTGGCTAACTCTCTTAGCATTATTTTCTCTAACACCATCCATTTACCTGCAAATGCCATGGATTTTATTCTTTTATTGCTGAGTAATATTCCATTGTGTATATATGCCACATTTTTTTAATCCATCTACTGAGGATCATCTAGGTTGGTTCCACAGTTTAGCTATTGTGAATTGTGCTGCTATAAACATTGATGTGACTGTGTCCCTGTAGTATGCTGTTTTTTAAGTCCTTTGGGTATAGACGGAGGAGAGGGATAGCTGGGTCAAATGGTGGTTCCATTCCCAGTTTTCCAAGGAATCTCCATACTGCTTGGAAAACTTAATTGTAAGTTTAAAACTGTAGAAGCTTTTGAGACTGATGTATATATTATTTCTTTTTAGTTTAGCCCTATGGCCAAAGGCTCTCAAAGGTATATGGTTTCCACTGGTGCTGATGGAACAGTTTGCTTTTGGCAGTGGGATTTAGAATCTCTGAAATTCAGGTAAGCAACTTTATGTAAAGTTTTATTTTTAAATGCAGTTAATATTTGGCTTAATGGAATAAAATTTGATTCTGAGGAGAAATTATATTTTATGATTGCCCTTTTACTTTTAAATATAATTTTATTTAATATAGCAAATGTGTCATTCACTACTTACTGTACAGTTGATTTTTTTGATAGTTGGATATGTTAAAGAACCCTACCTTTTGTCTTCATGAACACACTTTTGTGAAATTGAAGTGAAGTAATATGTATGTGAAACATTTATCAGAAATACACAATTTTGTATATAATCAAATACAGGCAGGAACATTTGCGGATCATAAGAACTAGGGTATGGACCAGTACTGTCCAGTTTGGTAGCACATAGCTACCATACTGACTTGAACGCTTCAAATGTGGCTGGTATCTAAAGTATTTATTGAAAATTATATTGATATTGATAATATGTTGACATATTTTGTATGTATTGGGTTAAATCCAATTTATAAAACTTTGTCTCTTCTGTTTTTTGGGGGATGGAGTCTCTGTATGTTGCCCGGGCTGGCTTTGCACTCCTGGGTTCAGTGGATACTCCTGCCTCCCAGGTTCAAGTGATAATCCTGCCTGAGCCTTAAGAGTAGCTGGGACCACGGGCCTGTGCCACTGTGTCTAGCTTTTTATTTTCCAAAAATATGGCTACTTAGACTGGCTTGCATTCCATTTCTTTTGCCCCGTGCTATAATATGGTGTTACTGTATTCTTCTTTGCAGCCTTGATAAAAGATTCACTTACACTCTTTGAGTTCTACTCACCTCACCTAAGAATGTTTAAACCTGGATGTTTAAACCTTTATGTTTTTATTTTAGGTGATATGGTTTTAGCTACGGGTAGTAGTAATGTTTGGCCTATGAGAAGGTACTACAGATATAAGATTATGATATTTAGATATGCCAGATTGAACTAGTATTTCAGATGTGCTAATGTGTTCAACTAATGTATTTTAAAGCAACATCTTATTCTTTTTAAGTCCACGCCCCCTGAAGTTCACTGAAAAGCCTCGGCCAGGTGTTCAAATGCTTTGTTCTTCTTTTAGTGTTGGTAAGGTAACTTGTTTGGTAATCTTTTTCTTAGTTTTACTTTAGCCTTTATTAGAATTCTGCATTATTGCTAAGAATTTTTATTCAGATAGTTGGTAAATGACATCTGATGTCCTTTCATTAGGTTTAATTTGTGATGTTTATTTAATCAGCCTTTTTTTGCATGTTCCTCTGTGTGATTCAGCAGTTCTGATTGCTAATAGTAATGAGAGTGACAATGAGGAGCGCTTAGGTGTTCATTGTGATCTAGTCCTGTGTTGTGTCCTCTATGGGTGATATGCCTAAATTTCTGATTTTCTTTTTTTTTTTTATGTTTATTTTTCAGTTTTCGATGGACACAACATCTTTATTTTATTTTTATGTGGTGCTGAGGATTGAACCCAGTGCCCCGCGCATGCCAGGCAAGCGTGTTATCGCTTGAGCCACATCCCCAACCTTGTGATTTTCTATTAACGGTTTTACTGTATATTTTTGTTTAAATTTGGTTCCCACACATGTATCTTGGTGAAATTTTCCCCCCTTTTCTTGCACCATGAACTTTTGTGGTAGGTTTTTTTTCAGGTTAGGTTAAAGATTTTTCCAGCCGAAGTATGAAAATTTCATAAACATCAAGAAGGAAACTTATATTCCAGAGCTAGGTATGGCGGTGCTCTACTGGTACACTACTGTCCCAGTAGTGTAGAGCACTGGTGCTGACGTGGCCCTGGCCTTGCCTCCACACCCAGTATAGAGGGATACTGGACATTTCCAGATTGGGTTCACTTTGTATGTTAAAGTTGCAAATAAGAGTTTAATAAGCTATTTATACAATGAGTTACAAAATAAATGTAGTGAGATAAATTAGTTTTGTAATAAAAGATCTTGCCTTTTAATGTAGAAGTTAGATTTGTTCAGATATTTTTTATAAGTTGGATGTTTAAACTTTTATGTTTTTATTTCAGGTGGTATGTTTTTAGCTACAGGTAGTACTGATCATGTAATCAGAATGTACTTTTTGGGTTTTGAAGCACCTGAAAAAATTGCAGAACTTGAAAGCCACACTGTAAGCATTTGTGTTTTAAAATTGTATAGAGTAATTGTTAATAGCATTTCTATTATTGATAAGGGGAATTGTTAGTGTTCTAATTTTTTCTTTTTTTGGGAACTGTCATTGAACCATGGGGCTTGGGCATGCTTAGCAAGTACTGGGCCTCTGAGCTGCATTTTCAGCCCTGTTTTTTAAATCTTAGACATGGTTTCACTAAGTTGTTCAGTTTGACCTTGAAATTAGGTTCCTCATACCTCAGCCTCCTATGTAGCTGCGATTACAGGCACATGCCACTTTGCCCAACTATTTTAAAGAGTTTTATTTCGGTTGTATAAAATTTTAAAATATGAAATCATAGTTGTATTTGATATAATTCATTGATGTAATATTCTTAGAAAGGTTTTTTTTGGGGGGGTGGGTATTAGGGATTGAACTTGGAAACACTCAACCACTGAGCCACATCCCCAGCCCTATTTTATATTTTATTTATTTATTTAAAAAAATATTTATTGTTTTAGTTGTAGTTGGACACCATACCTTTATTTATATGTGGTGCTGAGGTTTGAATCCCCAGCCTCACATGTGCTAGGCGAGCGTTCTACTGCTGTGCCACGACCCCAGCCATATTTTATATTTTATTTAGAGACAGAGTCTCACTGTGTTGCTTAGTGCCTTGCTTTTACTGAGGCTGATTTTGAACTTGCTTTCCCCCACCTCAGCCTCCTGAGCCACTGGAATTACAGCCGTGCACCACTGCGCCTGGTCTTAGAAAATTTTTGCTGAGTGCTATTGAACTGTGAAAATATTAAAATTTAGAGATTTTTGTTTGATTTATGTATTGCAGTGCTGGGCATCAAACCAAGCACCTCATGCATGCAAGGCAATTTCTCTTCCACTGAACTATATCCCCTAGAGTTTTTTATCTTTTATATAATAAAGAAAATGTTCAGGTATAAGATGGTTTTTGTGAATTCTAAACTTAGGCGTAGGGATCGCATAAACAGAAGAGATCTCATTGGCAACTCCTTTTAGCTCCTTGAGAGGGGTGTTATTTTAAAGTGGTTATTTTGGCTTTTAGCCTAAAATCTTGATTATGACAGTTGGTCTGGATGGGCTACTTTCAGAGGGGCTCACTTGTCCTGACAAGCTCATGAAGTTATGAATATGTAGTAAGATAACTCAGTTTTCTGAGCTGAGGTGAGGTCATCTTTTGTACTAAAGGAAGTTTTGGGGAGGGTAATCCTCATCCAGAGATTTTTTGATATAGATTTTTATTGCTTTAAGAGAAAAATTTTTTTCTCTACATAAAGTGAAAATGCCTTGTTTTCATCTGTTTCAAGGTCTTATTATATTGATGAATTTCCACACATGCCTTTTCATTTTCACATAAGTCTTTTTTTTTTTTTTTTTCCTTTTTGAACTTGGAGACACTCAACCACTGAGTTGAACCCAGGGCCCCTTGCATGCTGGGCAAGCACTCTACTACTGAGCTACATTCCCAGCTCCACATTTTATTTTTGAATACAGGGTTGCTTAACCACTGAGCTACATCTTCAGCCCTTTTTTAACAATTTTTTATTTTGAGACAGGGTCTTACTAAGTTGCTTAGGGCTTTGCTTACTGAGGCTGGCTTTGAACTTTCAGGCCTCTTGCCTCAGCCTTCTAAGTTACTGGGTTACACACACGCATCACTATGCCTGTCCATATAAGTCATTTTAAACAGATATAAAGACAGCACTGTTTTAATGTGCAGGGCTGTTTTTCTGTTGGATATGCCTGTCTTAGAGATGAGAACTTTGTCTTTTTAGGTTCCTCCTTCGTCTTTGCATGTAAAAGTGCAATAATTTTGAATGACTGGATTAAGCAGCACAAGTGCGGGTGTCTTGCTTGTAAAACCATATGTGCTTATGTCATTGAAACTGTTTAATTAGCAAACTATGTGGATAATAATTTGTGTATTTGTTTTTTCCCCCTTTAGGATAAAGTAGATAGTATTCAATTTTGCAACAATGGTGATCGGTAAGTATGTTTATGTTTGTGTTTTAGACAAATACAATGTGTTACATAATTGTATAGAGATATATAACTTCATATTTCCCCCTTTATATTATAATTTTAAATTTATTTTTAATTGATACTATAATTGTATATATTTATGGGGTACAATATGATGCTTTCATGTTGGCCTCATTGAGTGATTAACTCAAGCTAATAAGCATTCACCACCTCATATACTTATTTTTTTCCTGGAGATTAGATTTAAAATCTATTCTTAGCAATTTTTAAATAATACATTATTAACTGTAGTAATGTCACTTTGTTTATTACAGATACTCATATACAGCAAATATATTAACTGGGTAAAAAGTGTTTGTGATTGGAGAAAACACATGACATTAAAATTTTAGAATTGTAGTGTTCATTGCCTTCTGTGACCAAGAGTAGTTCTTCAGCTACATGTCCAATATGCTGGTGTGAAAAAAAAATTCAGTGATGACATTCCTTCTTTGAGTAGTATGAAGTTTGTTTTCTCATTAGTCACTGCAAATGCACTGAAAGTATTTTTATTTTTTGCATTGAAATTATTACCTAAATTATATCCTTACTGTCACCTGCTGTGTGCCAGGTTCCTTTCCTAAATTGCAGTCTTTGCACCTTCATTTGTTAATATATTATTTTTTTTACAGTGTCAAGCATGAATTATTTAGAGCTTAGTATTACAATGCTTAAAATTAGTTTTTGCTCTTATTAAATTTTTCCATGCTCTTAATTTTCCCCTCTATCCAGATACTGCTTTTACATTATGGAAACTCAATCTGTTTGAAAAGCTGTTGGTTGAATTTATAATTTTTGTTTCAGAGAGCCCAGCAACTCGATTTGTTCTCTCACTCGTATGCCCTAAATAACTTGTTTTTTGAATTAACACTTGTAGATTAACCTTTTATCAGGGCATATTTTCCCCTTTATATTTGTTAGGGAAGCTACATTACAGTTTTCTTTGCTTGGTGATTTAATAGTAGCAAGTATGTCTGTAGAAGATATTTTTCTGAATATTTTAAGGTTCCTAAGTGGTAGCAGAGATGGAACAGCACGAATTTGGAGATTTGAGCAGTTAGAATGGAGAAGTATTTTATTGGATATGGCTACCAGAATCTCGGGGTAAGTTGAGATGTTCATAAAGTGTGTCATAGGTGCCTCCTTCCCCTTCTCTGTTCATCTTCTGTGGTGCCCCTCCCCCGCCATATTTATTATTTTGTTGAGATTTTAACCACCTATAAAGAGCTATAGTCTAAGTGAATAACATGTCTAATAAACACTTAAATCCCATATATCTAGGTTAATATAGGAAAGTACATATGAGTTTATTATTGCATTGACTTCCTTAGGTTTTACATTTAGATTAAAATCTCCTATTTAAATAACAGAAAATTATATAATTGAGGACTGGTGATATAGCTCAGTTGGTAGAGTGCTTGCCTCGCATGCACAAGGCCCTGGGTTCGATCCCCAGCACCACACAAAATAAATTATAAAATGAATTCAGAGTATGTCAAGTGTGGAAAAATTACTTTTCTCTAGAAATTTTAACTAGGAGCTATGCTTGAGACTAACGAAGACAAATGTACTTTATTGTTGAAATAAAAATGAAGGACTGGGGATATAGCTCAGTTGGTAGAGAGCTTGTTTTGCATGCACAAGGCCCTGCGTTCAATCCCTAGCACAACACACACACACACACAGAAACAGTTCTAATGGGGCATGCTAAAATGTTGGCTGTTTTTGAAGGCTTGTTTATTAGTCCTTGCCCCCACCAAAGTTTTAGACATAGTTTGAACATCTTTGAGACAAATAGCACTTTCCGAGATGAATATTGCATAGTTGAAAGCTTTTTTGGTTTGCATATATTTGAAGAAGGCAGTTTGGATGGTGGAAGTAACATATATTTTGTAGTCAGACCTTGGCTCAGATACCACTCATAACTGTTTTGAGAAAGTCATTTAACGTTTTGAAATCTCTTTTGGGGGGGGGTGCTGGGGATGTGGCTCAAGCGGTAGCACGCTCGCCTGGCATGCGTGCGGCCCAGGTTCGATCCTCAGCACCACATACAAACAAAGATGTTGTGTCCACCGAAAATTAAAAAAATAAATAAATAAAAATTCTCTCTCTCTCTCTCTCAAAAAAAAAAAAAGAAAAAAAAGAAATCTCTTTCGGTATCTGGGAAAGGAGGCCTCATTTTTTGAAGCATTATTGGGAAATTAAAGTGCTACCCCAAAAGTTTGTATTACGCTGCCTGGCCTGCAGTGTATATTGGATGTTCTTTTGTCTCTTGTAAATACCTTTGTATTGTAGGTACGCTGTAATAGAAGTCTGGTCATAAATATTATTTTTCAAGTTGTTTCTAAAGTTTATCTTTACAGTTTTTTTTTTTTAAATATCTGGGAAATGTTGTCTTACAGTTTTGTCTTTTGGAAAATCATCATGTTTAGCTAGATGCCATGGTGCATCACAGCAATCTCAGAGACTCGGGAAGCTAAGGTGGAAAGATCACACACAAGTTTGAGGCCAGCCTTGGTAACTTAGTGAGACGCCATGTCAAAATAAAAAATAAAAAGTCCTGGGGGTGTAACTTAGTGGTAGAATGCCCCTGAGTCTAGTCCCGGGGTTGGGGGGAGGTATCATGTCTTGTTTTATTTTTAATAATAAAAAATGACTTGCAATGTCTTCTGGTAGTCCAAAGATTTGTGTTGTGCATTCAAAATAAATTTGATCTTAATATTGTTGTGAAATTATCTGTGGTGGATGGTGGAAAGAATAAATAGTGGAACTAGACAACTTTTGCTCAGAAATTAAAAAAAATTTTTAATTTTTTAAAATTATTTTTGTTATAATGTTAAAATCTTTCATCCATTTGCAAACAGTTGAAATACTGTCAGTCCTTGGTTAATATAAAATGAAGGAGAATGGGAGTGAAGATAATTTGAAATCATAGTGACCCCTGAATAGTTATTTATTAGACACAATACGAACATAAATGTTAAAACTTGAATAAAACTTTCTATTTTAATGAGAATGAAAACTGCTTAGTTTTCTGGCTGTCAGACTCCATTTATGGAGTGAACTTGTTAAGTCCCTTTGTGATGGTAATATATAAATTCTGCTTTTTCTTGAAAAGCAGAATCTTCTGTAAGAATTAATTGAGTAATTATTTTAGTGTTCTGATCTTGGCTAATCAGTCTACCTTTTGAAATGGAACTTGTTTGTTAGTAAATTCATGGTAGTTAATTGGGAAAGTTTTGATTTCAAAGAGTCTTAGCATCTTTGTTTTACCTCCAGTATTATTTTTTCCCATGACCAATCTGCTTAGACTTACTCTTTTGTGTGTTTCATCATGCTTACTTAGGTAGCTGTTATGTAGCACTTACTCCTTGCTCTTGTAGATGCTCTCTTAATTGAAATGTTAGATGCTTATGATTTTTAGAATGTTAATGATTTCAGAATCAGTTAGGCCTTTCCCCTCCCTCCCGTTGTATCCAACTATAGTTTACAGAGAAACCCCATATACCACTTTAATAAGGGCTGAAAAACATGCAGATGTTTATGCAAGACCATTTTTACCAAGAGACGTGTAAAAACAGGGAAATGTAAAGGGAAGAGTGTAGTCTGATTCCTGTTGGAGCATTTGTGTCTCTGCCTCTGCTAGTTTGCTGGAATTTGGGGATGTGAAGGTAAATTTTCTTACCTAAACTTGTTTCTCTGGAGAAGCAGTTGAAAGCAAGAATGAACAATAGGCTTGGGTGTTAAGAGAAGGAAATAATTGAAAAACGGCAGGGAAAAGGTACTTTGCTCCAGGTACAGCAGTGGTGTCCAGCTATGTGCTTTTTTTCGTTTTGAACTGCTTCTAAGTTACTCCTTAACCCTCAGGTTTTGTCCTAATCTGTTTCTAGACAATGATTGTAGTTAGATATGATGAACTTTCTATAGGACTGATAAAATAAGCACATTTAATTGCTGCTTGTTTTTTTTTTTTTTGATGCAGTGTGGAGGATTGAACCCACAGATGTTTTATCACATCTACATCCCCAGCCCTTTTTATTTTTTGAGGGACAGTTTTGCTAATTTTGCCAAGGCTGGCCTTGAATTTAGGATCTTCCTGCCTCGGCCTCTCCAGTAGCTGGAATGACAGACTTGTATCAGTGCATTTTTTTAGTTATTATATTGATGAAGATTGTGTAAATTGTATAATCTGCCACCCAAATAAGCTTATACATTGTGTATGTGTATATATATTTTTAGAGACTTATCTTCAGAAGAAGAAAGGTTTATGAAACCCAAGGTAACAATGATAGCTTGGAATCAAAATGATAGCATTGTTGTTACAGCTGTGAATGATCATGTCCTCAAAGTCTGGAATTCTTATACTGGACAACTGCTTCATAATTTACTGGTAGGTAGTTCTTATAAATATGACAAATCAAAATTCTTCAAGTCTTATGTTTGAAACTCTAGTAGTATACTGAATAAGTTCTGTTTGTCAAGTGATTGGGAATTTTTTATGCTTAACAATATAAATATTGTCTTTAGTACAGTTTTAAAATCCCTTATTACTATGACAGGATGTATTTTTTAAAAAATTTGCAACTTGTGACTTGTAAACCCTCATTAATGTTATGATTTTGTTGAATAAAGGGACATGCTGATGAAGTATTTGTCTTGGAGACACACCCCTTTGATTCCAGAATTATGTTATCTGCAGGACATGATGGCAGCATATTTATATGGGATATTACAAAAGGTACCAAGATGAAGCATTATTTTAATATGGTAAGTGAAATGAGGTACACCTTTATGCATACTTGCATTTGTTTAGAGTATTTAGATTATGAGAGTTAACCAGAAATAGATTTCAGCATTTTGGCGAATCTTTTTTCTAGAAATTAGGATAGGGGCTGGGATTGTGGCTCAGCAGTAGAGCGCTCCCCAAGCACAGGCGGGACCCAGATTCGATCCTTGGCACCACATAAAAATAAAAGGCATTGTGTTGTGTCCATCTACACCTAAAAAATAAATATTAAAAAAAAATAGAAATTAGGGTATATAAAAACCTATAAATATCTGACAGCTGTATATGAATATACACATGAAATTCTCTGTATAACTGATTTGTACAAGGGAAAAGTTTCAAAAGTTATTTGTTTAGCTTTTTGTGTATGAAGTGTGTCAGTATGTTTTAATTGGCAAATTTATGATCATTATACATTAATATTTAAAATACTGTCCTAGATGTTTCAATTGTTCAAGCATCATTAGATTTTTCCTCATCTTTTTTCTGTTTGCATATATATGTTATATTCTAGAACCAAATGAGAATTCTTTTACATTGGTAAAAATAGCATTACTTAATCCAGATCTATAATTTTGTCAGTTGGTTCAGGAATGCCATTAAACCAGCTATATTTTGTTTCTTAGGATCCAACTAAAGATCATATATTTCAATAAGTGGTTTTATCTCTCTAGTTTTATTTAATCATTAATAGCCCTCTAGTGTTTTTATTTTATCCTCGTCTTAAGTGTTTGAGTATACAGTTTTTTTATAGAACATCTTTCAGCTTTGACTGATAGTCTTCATGTTACACATTTTTTCGATGAAATTAAATAATGATCTTGTACCCTCTGTCCATCCCTTGGAGTCATGTGATATTTATTTATGCTGCTATTGGTGGTGACAATTTTAAATATGAAGTTAACGTGGCTTCTGTGAGATTTTTCCACTAAAAAATATTTTTTTTCTTTTTGTAAGTGTAAAACTAATGTAGCCCCCCACCCCACCCCTTTTTTTCCTTGTAGTACTGCTGATTGAACTCAGGTGCTCACATATGCTAGGCAAGTGCTCTAATATTTCAAGCTTTATTTCCACCCCTTTTAATTTTCACTGATTCAGGGTTTTGATAAGTTGCCCAGGCTGGCCTTGAACTTGTGATCTTGCCATCTCAGCCTCCAGGGTTTACAGGTGTTCATCACTCTACTCAATTTAAAGGAGCTATTTTGAGACTCCAAATGCCTTTTTCTCATCAGATTTCATATACAAACATTCACATTCATTGAGTATTTTCAAATGGTATCATTTCTTCTGTTAGTTGATATCCTTGGACATAGTTCTTAAACTTAAAAGAACTTTTAAAATTAATTTTATGTGAATACCTTATTTGAAAGCCTTAAATATTTTTCAGTCTGTCTCAGAAGAAAATAGCTTACTCAGTTATTTTTCTTTTGTTGGGGGTTTAAGTGATTTCTAAAATGTTGTGTGTCAAAAACACTTTGAATATCTTTGCACATGATTATTAGGATAAATTTTGAGTTACTGTGTAAAAAGGTCCTAATTGATGTTAAACTGATACAATTTACAGTTGGAATGGAAGAATTAAAGATAGTTTAAAAATAATGTATATAGCTGTGCATGTTGGGGAATGCTTGTAATTCCAGCAACTCTATAGGGGCTGTGGCAGGAGGAACACAAATTCAAGGCCAGCCTCTGCGATTTAGTGAGATCACCTGTCAAAAAGAGGACTGGGGATGTGGCTTGGTGGTAAAGCACCCATGTCTTCAATCCCCAGTACTGCTTTAAAAAAAAAAAAAAGTAAACTATGATACACTTCAAGTATTCTTCCTGAAGTCTGTGGTTTAAGGAGTTACAGGCATTTTAACATGTGTTCTTGAGACTTTATAGCATTGCCCAGTTTTGTATGGTTGTCAATCATTTTAGTAGTGAGTTGAGTCAGTAAAGTCCTCCTTAAATTCCAGAAAAGTGTTGATTTTTAGTTCACAACACATAAAACTTTGTTAATCTATAATCATTTTCCTAGCAGGTTATTTGCTTTTATTGTATATTTTAATAAAAGTTTATTTAAATTGCCATTCATTGGTAGAAGTTTGGATTAGTTTACAAGTGCTCATTTGATCATTTGGACAACTAATACTTAGAATATCTTTGGATTTTTTTTCCCCCTAGGTTAGTATTATCTAAAACGAATCTGATAATATATTAATTGATGTATGTGTTTAATGCAAAATTGTATAAATTATTTTTTTGAAGATGCTAGGGATTATACTCAATGGTAGGGTGCTTGTCCAGCATGTGCAAGGCCTGAGCTCAATCCCCAGCTCTTGGGCTTGGTGGGTGAGGGTGGAATTCCATAAGGGATGTATTGCAGCAGATTATTCACATTAAATAAGGTTACATACTAAAAGTGCTGGTGTAGAATTGGTCATAAAACTTTTTCCCCTTCTGGGTTTTCTAGATTGAAGGACAAGGACATGGAGCTGTGTTTGACTGTAAGTTTTCACAGGATGGACAGCATTTTGCCTGTACAGATTCTCATGGGCACCTACTCATTTTTGGATTTGGATGCAGCAAACCATATGAAAAGGTCATTTTTAATGCTTTCTTATGGCATATATAAAGTTATAAGAGATTAGAAATAGTTTAGCTATACTTATTTGATCCTTATGCTTTTAATTAACTGTTGAATATTTGTTTTCTTTAGCATACATGCACTTCAAAATGTCATCCTGTGAACTTTACTTTTCTAGATACCTGATCAGATGTTCTTCCATACTGACTACCGACCACTGATCAGAGATTCTAATAATTATGTCTTAGATGAGCAAACTCAGCAGGCTCCTCATCTTATGCCTCCACCATTCTTGGTAGATGTAGATGGAAATCCTCATCCAACTAAGTATCAGAGATTAGTACCAGGTCGAGAAAATTCTGCAGATGAACATTTGGTTCCACAACTAGGCTATGTGGCCACAAGTAAGTAGAAAAGTCTTTTTCTTTCCTTTTGAAAGATTTCCTTACTGAGTTTTTTATTTGAAAAATTTTAAGAATAATGAACTCCCATACCTTTAAGTTCAGTAGTCATTAAGTTCAGTAGTCATTAATATATTTTGTAAAATTTGGTGTATTTTCTCTTTGTGTATATATTACTTTGAACTATTTGAATCTTAAGTTCTGGATATTTTATGCCCATTACCCTTAAATATTTTAATTTATATTTTAGGGTAATAATCTCCTATGTAACCATAGACATCTATCAAAATTAGGACATTTAACCCTCAATGTTATTATCAAATTGATAGTTTGTAATTAAATTTTGCCAGTTACTGTAATAATGCCTGTTGGAACTTTTTTATTTTTCCCTGGTTCCAATTTGGCACTGTACATAAAATTGTCATATTTTCTAAATTTCTTTTAATCTGGAGAGGGGTCTTGGCTCTTTTTTTTTTTCTTTTTGATGGACACAATTCCTTTATTTTTATGTGGTGCTGATGATTAAACTAAGTGTCTCCAGGCAAGTGCTCTACCACTGAGCTAGAACCCCGGCTGTTGACTTTGATACTGATATATTTGAAGTGTATAGGCCAGGAATTTTGTTGAATGCCTCAGTTTGGGCTTGCCTTAAGGGGAGGTCATACACTTTTGACAGAGTACAGCGTAGGTGACCTCTTCCTGGAGCATCACATGTCAGGATGCTTATGATTGTGGTTTGTCCAGTGATTGGTAATATTGCCTTTAACATCTTGTTATGGTGTTGCTTGCTAAGTTTTTCCTAAAGTTACCACTTTTTTCTCTTGTAATTAATACATAGATGATATACAAATTCTCTGTTCTTTGCATACTTCATCCAGGTTTTAGGATCCATTGATGATTTTGCCTGTTACCACTTGTCGTTATGAAGGTTGCAGAATGGTTATTTTCTACCTTCACTTCCATTGTATTCACATTTCATTATGACTGTGTAGCACTCTATTACACGGTGTACTAAGTTTTAGTATGGTTGTATGGGTTGTTATATTTTGGTTATAGTCCATTACTGTTATTATTTTGTTACTCATTATCCTTAGGTTTGACTCTGAGAAGACTTTTCACACTGTCCTTTCCCAAGTCCCCATCATTTTTAAAGCAATTCTTTGCTTTCCTGACACAAGATGTTCCAGGCTCATCTTATACTTACCCTCTCTTAGCCAAGTGCAAAGTCTTTGTAATTGTAATTAATTGTTTATAGTGTAGTGTTTCTCTTTACAGATGTTAGGTGAAAAAGTGCTTCTTCGTTTGGTTGAATATTGATTTATTTAAACTAAATTACTACCTATATTTAAGGTTCAAGCTTGATGTACATCACTGTTTACTCTTTAAAAAATAACTTTTTTATTTGTTTACTGAAGTATACATTATATACAACAAACTTATCAATCTAAGTATATATGATTTAAATGAATTTTGACAAATGTTAATTATGTAAGATTTTTACTGTCACTCTAAGTTCCTTGGGCCCATTTAGAGAGATTTTTCCCTTTCTCTAGTCCCTTGTTACCACTTTGTCTTTCTTTCTTTTTTTTTTTTTTGGTACTGGGGATTGAACGAAGGGAATCATATCCCCAGCCCTTTTTAAATACTTTTTTTAGAGATGAGGTCTTGGGAGTTGCTGAATTGCTAAGGCTGGCTTTGAACTTGGAATCCCCCAGCCTCAGCCTCCTGAGCCTCTGGAATTACAGGCATGCGTCTCTGCACCTGACTTAACTTTTAACTTTGTCTTTTAAGGGAATTTTTTACATAGTAATTGTATAGTTGTGATTTCACATTCCATGGTTTTAACTATGTGCTATACCTGCAATTCTAAAATATTTAATGGCAAATTTCAGAAATAAAATAATACATGAATTTTAAATTGCATGCCATGTAGTGTGATGAATCTTTTGCCTTTCTCTTCAGGATATAAATTATTCCTTTGACTGCTTTATCTATGTAGTATAAACTGCCCACCTGTTAATTAGTTAGTAGCCCTCTTGATTGTTAGACTAGCTGTCTCAATATTACAGTGGATGTGTTCCGTTAAACTCTACTGTACTTAAAATGGGTCCAACAGAGTGTTATGCTGGCAGTTTAGGTATTTCAAAAATAATTGGTAATGTGCTTTTTGGAGTGAAAAGGAGAAAATTCTGAATATAATAAGGGAAAATTTTGAATGTTGTGATGCTAAGATCTATGGTTAATAATCGACATTCTATCTGTAAAATTTGTTTTGAAGGGAAAATGAATTTTTGCTAGTTTTGCATATCAAACTGTATGTTAATAACCACAGTGTGCAATAATGCTTTAGATTAAGATGGAAAAGGAATTAAACTTGTGTATGTATAGTAGGAAATACACATAGTTTATGTGGAGTTCAGTACTATCCATGCTTTCAGACATCCACTGTGGGGATCTTGGAATTTTTCTCCTGTAGGTAAGGTAGGGGGGTCTGTTGTAATATTATACGAAGGAATATTGTAAAAAAAAAAAAAAAAAAAAAAATCATACAATATGTAGAATTTTGTGCCTGGCTTCTTTGATTTGGCATGGTGCCAGTTCATTCATGCTATTGCATCTATTTGTAATTTGTTCCTGTTTATTAAGAGATAGTACTTCAGGAAAGTATGCCTATACCATCACTTGTTTATCCCTTCACTGATAGTCAAGGACATTTAGCTTGATTTCCAGTTTAGGGTATTAATGAGGATTGAATGGCAAGAACCTGTTTCAAAATAAAAAAAATAAAAAGGACTGGGCATGTAGTTCAGTGGTAGAGTGTTATAATGTGGATTTTCAATAATGTGGATTTTCCTTATTTCTTCAGTTAGTTTTGACTGAAGAAATAACTTCTGATAGTTTTGATGTTTATATGTTCCACAGTTTGTTTATGAGGTACAGACACACTTTGGATTGTTTGTCCTCTTTTTTAAAATTTTTATTATTATATTTTGTGGCGCTCAGGATTGAAAATAGGAGAGCTCTACCACTGAAATACATCCCCAGCAGTTTTTTTTTGGTACTAGGAATTGAATACCCAGGGGCACTCTACCACTGAACTGCATGCCCAGTCCTTTTTATTTTGAAAGGGGTTCTTGGTGAATTTCCCAAGCTAGCCTTGAACTTGTGACCCTTCTATATAAGCATTCCGAGTCACTGGGATTATGTGTGTTTGCAATCACACCTTGCTTCCCAGGTGCCTATTGCCCAGGATCTGAAAGCCCATGTTTTATAAATATTTTTTCCTAATGTTACAGTTGTTTATCATGGAGGGTCATTTCCTGAAGCACATCATTCTTCATGCTTGGAACCCTCCCTTGATACTTCCGTACTGATTGTACCACATCAAGTAGAAAGTTATTCTGATACTTGAGAAGGTCAACACTTAAGTAATCTGTGCTACCAAAGAAAAGTTTTATAGACCTACGGTTCTTTTGGGGGGTAGGGGGAGGATTAAGACTCTTTTTTTGTTACTATTTTCCCTTTGATCCCATGTTGTAATAGTTTTAACTATAATTTGTTTTGAGAGTGATCAAAAAATTTATTTATTTATTTTTTTAAATTTAAAAGGCAAAATCAATATGAGCTGACATTTAGCTCCTATAAATTCTTCATGGGTTTCCATAGTAAATGATATGTAAGATATGAGTGTATGTATGTGGGTGTGCATGCATGTATATATTTGTATATATGTAAATATAAATATATAAATGAATGCTTGGGGAGTCTGTGTTTCCCCCCCCTTTAATGCTACATGGGATTTTTCAGTTTTTGGATCTGTTACTATGGTGGCAAATTTTATCTGTTCATTTCTTTTAATATTATAATTAATGGGTGGGAAAAGGGGAGAAGTTTTGTATATACTGAGTTCATGTTTCAGTAGAAGCTGCATCTATAATAGGAAGATGATTAAGGGATTTTAGCATGAAAATATTAACATCTAGGCACTTTTCTAAACCATTTTGTAAATCCACAGCCATCTAATAATTATTTCCATTAATTCTAATTCTGAACTGATTAAATATCTCTGCAAAGGCACTAAAAAAATCTGATTTTGTGTTTGAAGAATGATGCGTACTGGTTCTGCTAAAAACATACTAAGAGGTATAGTTGTTTATGCTGAGTAGGTCAGGCATGTGAAACAACCTCCATCAACTGTACCTGTTCTGAGGACTCCTGGGTGTGCTCAGAGACCTATAGTTGTCTCTTGTTGAAGACCTAGAAGTCCTAACCTCTCTGCCTTGTTCCATGAGACAGTACAGAAGACATTGGAGTCACTGCTTTCATCCGCATTAAAATACTATGCATACCTGTTGTTGTCAGGAAGGCTTTAGTAAGCCTTGGTTTCCATGCTTCTTCTGTCTCAGAGGGTCCCAGAGGCTGTGTTGAGGTTTTTGTAGTACTTGGTATTCTAAAAGAGGGGTTTGTTTTGAATTTTTTCTCTGAATTAATTGTGTATATGTAAGGTATCTTTTCTAATTGGTCACTTAGTTATTTGTTTATTTTGAAACAGCAATTCTGGTCTTATTTTTTCTTTTGCAGTGTTGGGGACTGGAGAGCCTAAGGGATTCTAGGCAAGCACTCGACCACTGAGCCATATCCCCAACCCTGTTAATGTATTTCTAATTGTAAGCTACTGAAGTACTTTTTTCCTACTCATATATGTTATGATTCATAATTGAATTTGTAGGTGATGGAGAGGTAATTGAACAAATTATAAGCCTACAAACCAATGATAATGGTGAACGAAGCCCAGAGCCCAGCATCCTTGATGGAATGATAAGGCAGTTGCAGCAGCAGCAAGATCAGAGAACGGGAGCAGATCAGGATATTGTTCCAAGTGGATTTTCAAATGGGGAAGAAACACCTCGAAGAGGTAACAAATATGGAAAGTGTTGTACCTAAATGTAGCGGTATTGAAATTAAAGAGTAAAACTTGGAATAAGCAGTATATTTTTGCAACTTAAGTAGTATTTTGAAGGTATTTTTTAATTTGCTGTAGTTACAAATGGGCATTTGATTTTTTTTAAATGGCTTTATTTATTTATTTATGTATGTATGTTTATGTGGTGCTGAGGATTGAACCCAGGCCCCGCATGTGCGAGGCTCGCGCTCTACTGCTGAGCCATAACCCCAGCCCCATGATTTTCAAGTATGTTAAATGGTTAATGAAGTTTTTGTCTAAAAACAGCATTTGCAAATTGTATTAAATGATATCTAATAATAAAGTGGTTTTTTGAAGGAAAATTATAGTTTTAGTTTTGCCTTGCTTTAACATTTGTGATTTTTGAAAAACCAAACTGGGTAGAGACTAATTTTTCTTAGTGAATCAGCATTTGTGAGTGAGTTGAAGACTCTCTGACTCTTCATATCATGGTGCTTTATCCTGTTATTTTCAAAGAACCTGGAAGATCCTCTTACATAAACATAATGTAATGGTTACACTGTACAGACTTTGTTTTTACAATATTGCTGTCTTCTACAAAGTGTCTCATAGTTTTTCAGTTTTAGAAATTTAGGATTAGTTCAGCCTTGCTTGTTGCATTTAATTATTATCTCCTCTTCTTTTTTTTGATGGAAGTGCTGGGACTCTTGCTGAGGGCTTCACACATGCTAGGCCAGCACTGTAACACTGAGCTACACTCCCAGTCTATTATGTCTTTCTTTAATCTAGAAAAAGATTTCTCTTAGCATGGAAGGGTTCAGTCCTGTTGTTTCAGGGTTTCTTGCAGTTTGGATTGTCTGCTCATATCCTGGTACTTGTGTTCTGGTTAAACATGGTTCCTCAGTGCATCATAGAAAGAGGCACAGATATACATGCATTCTTCTTCACCTTTCCCCCTTAACAGTATGTTGTAGGAGTCACCATTTATCACTTCATCAATTGACAGAGTTTCTCCTTATCCTGTTTTATAGCTTCATAGTACTCTGCTACATGGAATAGCAAATCTTTGTAATGTGTTTATGTGTATATAGGTTATTTCTTATGCTTTGCTATTACAAGTAATGTTATGATACATAATCTTGTGCATATTTGCAAATTTTTGGAGAATAACACTATTACTTAAGCAGTTAATATAGAATTTATATTTCTCAGTTCGAGAAATGTTTCTTCAATATATTTTGTTTAATTTTTTTTTTTTTTTTTTGAGAAAAAAGAAAAAGGTTTATTGCTTTACTAGCAGAGGAGAAACACAGGGGATTCCTGTCCTGAAGGCTGTGATTCTGCCCATCAGTGGGAATGGGGGGCTTTTAAAGAGGTGACTCAAAGATTGTATTCCATGTGTTTTCTGTTGGAGTTGTAATTCACTTCTTAATTTGGGAGATAGTTTAGGGATGGTACCAGAATATCTCAAAGTCTGCATTACTTCGTTCTTATGGGGGATTGTGTACATATAACTCTGCCAAGGATGAGGAAGAAATTAGGGAAGAGCAGGGAGAGAGGAAGTGAAAGAAACATGCCAGTTTTAAAAATAAGTTGCAAGCTGGGCGTGTTGGCATAGGCCTGTAATCCCAGGGCCTTGGGAGGCTAAGGCAGGAGGATTGTGAATTCAGAGCCATCCTCAGCAATGTTGAGATGCCAAGCGACTCAGTGAGACTCTGTCTCTATATAAAATATGAAATAGGACTGGAATGTGGCTCAGTGGTTGAGTGCCCCTAAGTTCAGTCCTTGGTAACAACAACAACAAAAAGCAGTGGTAGAGCAACAAGGGATAAAGTGGACCACTGTTACATTTCCCCACTGTCAATTTACATGTGCAAAGCCTCTTGGCACCTTTAGCTTTTTTCTACCACTTGCCAGGTTGGGTAGGGTCTGGCTGACCATATGTGGCTTCTTTTGCAAGCATCAGGGACATTTCTGTCTCCAGTGACCCTCCTCTTTGCATAATGTGCACTGGTTGGCTTCCTGTTCTCTAGATCTCCCTGATCAACAAATCTGGTGACTCACCAGAATTGCAGGACCCAGAGAGGGGTCCCCTTATTCTCTCGTCCTGGCTGACCATAGAGGGCAAGGGTCAAAATGTTGGCTTTATTTTACTTTTTATTTTTTTACAGTTGGGGATAGAAGGCCTTGCATGTATGAGGCAAGTGCTCTGCTACTGAGCTCCACCTCCTTAGCCCAGTATTTATCTTTTCTTTTCCTTTTCCTCTTCCTCTTTATTTCCTTCCTTCCTTCCTTTTTTAGAGTTACAGATACAACTTTATTTTAAAATATTATCTACCAATTTAGTGTTTTCTATCAATTTTGGGAGCAGAAACCTTCACAAGCTTCACAGTCTTGTGCTCAGGTGTTGCCTTTGTGGGAGTCTTAGCAGCAGCCTTTCCAACTTCTGGTTTCTGTTTTCTCTTTATCTGCAAGAGATGCACCAGTAATGGCCTTCTGAAATTTTACTGCATATTAGGTTTTCTTCTTTAGAATTTCTTCCATTCGGCCCTGTTGATGTTTTCTTCTGTAGAGGACAGTCCAGTTTATCTGCCAAGGATTCTTCTGGGAAGGAGTGCCAACTTGGATTTTGTATTAATAAATTGGAAAACCTTTGTGTCAGTCCTGGCACAGCGTCTCCCATGTCTGGGTTTTTTTTTTTTTGTATTTGCTAAAACTGCACAGCTCAACCTTCCTTGCAGTGGCTGCTGGGAAAAAGGAAAGATTGAGGGGGCCGGGGGACTCTATCCCAGTATATTTCATATAAATGTTTTATTGGTAGGTGAAGTGTAGTGTGTTTTATAGCACAGACTGTTCACATGATTGATAAATAGAATGTGGTACATAGAAGAATGAAGAAGTGGTGTTCACTTGTGGTTTTGCCAAGGCAGGGAGTACAGGCACAGGAACCCTCGCACCTTATTTTAAGAAAATGATCACTTGGCTGGGTGTAGAGGTAGAATAATCCCAAGTTCAAGGCTAACCATAGCAACTTAGTAAAACCCCCTCAAAATAAAAAGGACTGGGGATATAGCTCTGTGATAAAGCGCCCCTGGATTCGATCCTCAGCCCCCCTCTCCCTCAATCAAAATGCCTCAGACTTCCTCCTTAAGGCCAGCCTCTGTGGGTTCTGGCTCCTGGGATGTGGTCCTGTTCCCTGGTTCGGCTTAATTGCAGCCGGTGGGCTCAGACTGTACTGTCCTCTGGGTTGTGGCATTAATACTCTCCACTACTAGTGCTGCCAGCATTTCCTAACACAAGCTGATATATGCTGTGGAGGCTCCTTCCTGGTGGTTTCCATTGTCTCCTGAGGGTCTCGATTGATGGTGTGACTAGGTTTATTATAAAGCCATCTTGATTTGAGGAGGCTGTTTTCAGTAGATTATTGTGCAGATTTACAGAAAGCAGAATTTTTAGAGAGGCAAACATGAAAAATATTTGCATATTTAAAAATTTCAGTCTAATAAAATTTTAAATTGAGGCTTAGCAGTTAATGTTTGCTCAGCATTCTACATTTTGATCTTAATCATACAAGTTTTCTCATTTCACTTTGATCTCTTTTTTTGGTATATCTCTTAGGAGAAATGTGTGCTTGTTACATGTCAAATGTATTTTAATTTGAAACTATTTTGGAATAATTTTTTAATGATTTTTCGCTAGGTTTTAGAAGATTAAGTTTAGATATGCAATCACCTCCAAATATTGGTCTGCGTCGTAGTGGACAAGTTGAAGGTGTTCGTCAGATGCATCAAAATGCTCCACGGAGTCAGATTGCTACAGAGCGTGACCTACAGGCTTGGAAACGAAGAGTGGTTGTACCAGAGGTACCACTAGGCATATTTAGGTTTGTTTTAGGATATCTATTTATATTGTTTCTCTGTGAAAATATATTCATGTGGTTATTTACACATCCTTAATTACATTAGTTGTGTAAATAATCATGTAAATATATTTTAGTAATGGTTGGAAATCTGTTTTAATTGGGAGAAAAATGTCAAAATTACTTTATTGGAAAGTTTTTCATAGCCTGTATTGTTTTATCTGTATGAACACCCATTTTTATCCTGTCAGAATCATTTTTTTAAAAAACTCCAGACATATTGTTTTCTTTTTTTTTTTAAAGAGAGAGAGGAGAGAGAGAGAAAAGAGAGAGAGAATTTTAATATTTATTTTTTAGTTTTTGGTGGACACAACATCTTTGTTTGTAAGTGGTGCTGAGGATCGAACCCGGGCCGCACGCATGCCAGGCGAGTGTGCTACCGCTTGAGCCACATCCCCAGCCCCTTCTCTAAGTTTTTTAGTATGTGTTTCTGAAAGGTGAACCACAAGGCTGTCGTGACACGTGCAACATTTCCTCAGTTTCCTGAACTAGGGAAGGTGAGATGATTGGAAATAAAGACAAACACAAATATAGAAAAGCTGGCCACGGTGGATCACCAGAGCTCCTGAAGGGAGAATGCTGGCTGACCATGCGGATGCTCTGCATGCTTATGAATGGGTTAAAAATCCAAATAATTTACTGTGATAAAGCTTCTTCAAGATAAACAAAAGTGAGGGTGTGAGGAAAATAACCCCATTGGGGCTTGGCTTGTCACCTTGCACTGATATTTCTTCCTCCTTCTGGTAGCTGACGTTTGAACCTAAGGCTATTTGAACCAATAAAATCTGTGAGATATAAACTCTAAACAGTGAGTCACCAGCCACTGAACAGTCTCTAATTAGGGAGATAACCACCAAGAGTTCTCAGAAGGGCATTGCCTCTGCCTTGAGAGGGTTCAAACCTGTAATTGGTTTGCCGTTCTCAACAAAATGCTAGTACCATAACTTAAAAAAAGTTTTTTATTGCAGTCAGACACCCAGGCAGTGTTTTAAATTTTCAATTGTCTCAAATGTCATAAATTATGTCTTATTTTTTTTGCAAGTATTTCATGTCATTCTTTCATAATGCACACGTAATATCTAGTATTTTTTGTTATGTTAGCACCCATTGATGCTTAATGCCTAGTTTATTAATTCATTAGATGTTTCAATTCTTTTTTTTAAAAAAACAATTTTTGTAGTTATAGATGGATAGAATAGAATGCCTTTATTTGTTTATGTTTATGTGGTGCTAAGAATCAAACCCAGTGCCTCACATGTGCTAGGCAAGCACTTTGCCATTGAGCTAAGCCCTAGCCTGATGTTAATCAGGTGTTCCATTTATTTCTCAGATATTTCTTTTGTTTTGTTGTACTGGGAATTGAACCCATGGGTACTCTATCATTGAGAAATACTTATCCCTGTTTAATTTTTATTTTGGGATAGGATCTCCCTAAATGGCTCAGCCCTCCTTGTGCTTGTGATCCTTTTGCCTCAGACTCCTGAGTTGCTGGGATTAGAGGTGTGCACCACTATACCTGGCTGCTGGGATACTACTATAAGGAAATTTGCCCAAGGATACTTGATTATCCAGTAGTAAAATTTAATATATAAGAGGCAGGATAGATGGTTCTTCTTTATTGACATATTCTGTCATATTTGGGTTTCATGAAAAATATTATCATGGATAGTTTTGTAAAAGTGTTTCCTTCATGTGTGTAGCCAGAAGAGTTTTAGTGATGAAAGAGTAATATTAGAGTACATATAGTAGTACTTACTGTGCAGTGAATACAAGGAGGTTTTATAAGTACACAATAGCGAAATGAAAGATCTCTAACTGTGATGGGAAATACTGAAAATTACTACTATTTATATAATATTGTATAATTATACTTAAATTTGTGTCTGAGTTTCATGGCCATGAGAACCAAAAATGTTATTTTGGGATAATTTTCCTTGTCAAAACCAGGGGAAACAAACATGTATTTGGAGTGAAAGACCTGAAGGACTAGTTCTTTTTTTGTTTAACCTTTTTTTAAAATTATTGATTGACCTTTATTTACTTAAATGTGGTGCTGAGAATTGAACCCAGTGCCTCATACATGCTATGCAAGCACTTTATCAACTGAGCCACAACCCCAGCCCCAGAACTAGTTCTTTTTTTTTTCTTTCTTTCTTTCTTTTTTTAAAATATTTTTAGTTGTCAATGGACCTTTATGTGGTGCTGAGAATCGAACCCAGTGCCTCACACATGCTAGGCAAGCGCTCTACCACTGATCTACAACCCCAGCCCCAGGACTAGTTCTTTAAACACATAAGCACTTACTGTTTTCCTTAAAGGAAGATTAGAAATAGTTTAAGGCCATATGTGGAATCCCCTAGGTAGTCAAGGACTTGGGCACCTGATTTTGATCTCCTTTATGGGACATTGCTTCCATTTTTTTTAAGTTCACTTCCAGTCCAAGGTAACTGCTGAAGCTCTAGCCATCATATATCACTATCTGTGATATAGTCTGAGATTTAGGACAGAAGTAGGAAAAGGCCCAGAAAGATAAAAGGACATTTCTAGTCAAACTTATTTAAATAGTCACAATGTATTTCTGCTCATAACTCATTGAGAAGATTGTCAT